TAAATAAAAATGTTATATTTATCAGGGAGATGTCTGAACTGCAGTTGGCAATCACGCGCGGCAGTTTTACGTTTGCATGGCAGCCCGTGTGCCATAAATACGCAGCCTACCCTTGAACAGGATCCTCTAACATCAAGGAGAGAGGTCAGTTAAGCTACAGTGCAAACTAGTGCGAAGCAACGAAGGAAAGCCAGAGGTACTGTAGCAAACACTGTATCAAACACTGTATGAATCTACTATAGCAGGTACTGTGAAGCAAAGAAGGAGAGCCAGAGCTACTGTAGCGACACGGTATGCAAACGCTCTTATATTTCTTTACAAAGGGAGTAGACAAAACACTGACTACAATTGCAATAAAAATGTACATCCGAAAAATTCCAAAAACTAACTCTACCAAATGATCATTCAGAAACTTGAGCACATCAGCTGATATAACCAATTGAAACTAGGTCTCATCAGTGTCTTGTGAAACAGCATACCCCCCCTGCTATGAATGCCGACAGATGGAGGAATGAGATTCCTGCTTAGTTATGCAATACTCCCTCCGTTCCCTTTTATAAGACGTTTCACACATTTCAGACACACACAAAACAGTTCAAACTGGACTGGCTAAAACGTCTTTTAAGAAAGAACATAGAGAGTAGCATATTAGTAAATCCTCTAACTTTCTATTAGAAAGGAAGCAATTAAACTAACATGCATGCTCAATCGTGTATAAGGAAATGCTACTGTAGATGATAACACTGGAAGAAAGGATCAATTGCCACGAGGTATATAGCCAGACATGTAATAATGATTGGTGGATTAGATATGTACAAGAGACAACTAAGAAAAGTGGAAGGGTATGGAAATGATTGCACGGACAAGAAAAAGAGACCCGCAAAAGAGAATGGCAACACATAGACCACAAGAGGCCATGCTTGCTTAATTAAATTTCTCATATAAAATTACCACAACAACAACAACAAAGCCTTTATAAAATTACCACATTTATCAAAATCTACCAGACACGACAAATCACAGATAAAATTGCCCCCTTTATAAAAAAATGCCTCTCCATTGTTTGTTACTAATACTAACACATGCTCTTTCGCCTCAAAAACACCTCTTTACTACTCCCTCCGTCTCAAAATTCTTGTCTTAGATTTGTCTAAATACGGATGTATCAAGTCACATTTTAGTATTAGATACATCCGTATCTAGACAAATGTAAGACAAGAATTTTGGGACGGAGGGAGTATCTGATTAGATGAAGAGGCAAAACTAACCAAAGAGACTGAGAACTGAGAAAAGGAGAGATGATACTATAGAAAGAAGAAACGGCGAATGAAGAGTGATATACTGCAAAAAAAAAAAGATCAATAAAAAGATACTGATGACTGAAGGGACTGAAGAGTAACTAGAAGAGGGAATGAAAACTGGTAACTGGAGAAAAAACAAGATAATGAAATAAAACTAATTATGAGAAGCAAGGATTTGAGGAATGAAAGACAAAGAAAACTAATGATGCAAGAAAATCAAGTTTGAATGAAAGAATCTGAAACAAGGGAATATAAACACTGGAGAAATGAACAATGATAGACATAGAGAACTTCTCTAATGAAGAATGATTGAGGACTAATTAGGTACAAATGAGAGACTAGTTTAATAAAAGGACTGAAATACTACAAAATAACTGAAGAATAAACTGAAAAAAGCTTCGTTGTCCTACAAGAGGTCTGCATCCTTAACTTTATACTGCTGTGCTGATAATTTATACCTCACTTCAGTGTTTATTCCTAATCTGTAACATATATAAGTTGCTTGTGCTGGTGGGCAACAGTATTATTCAGACTTATCAAACTTGCAGGTCGTGCTCCAAGCCTCCAACAAAACAAATATATACTAAAACACACAGTAAAAGACACACGTAACTCTCCTCTATTGTGGCAAAGCACATACAACACGCCGCGGGCTTGCAAGCACGTAAGATGCAGACATGGAATGGGCAAAGCATTTACGCCGCAGGCTAGCAAAACGAAAAATGCAACGGCTTCAGAATCAGGGCTAGTTTGATCAACTTGGAAACTACAAAAAAACTAACTAAAATTGCAACAAAAAGCACTACCAAAACTCGCGGCCGGTGGCGAGACCCTTGATTCTGCTCAAGCAGACCGCCAATCGCTCGTGGCGCGACAGATGGGACAGCCCCGATGGCCTCCTCTCCAGCCCCTCCATCTCCTCCCTCCTGCTCGAAGACAGCTCGCTTCGCTCCACAGATTCCCCCCTGCTCCGCGCAGCAGCTCGGACAAGGCTCGTCGGCAGCTCGCCTCCCCCACACAGCCTAACCCCACCTAACGCTGCTCGTCGGCCTCCACCGCCTCTCCATCCTCCCGCTATGCAGGGACAAGACGAAGCGACACGACGCTTCCATTGGGAAAACGGATAGGAGCACAGACCAGGTGAATAAGCCCACTATTTTTTTTGATGGGCGGAATAAGCCCACTAAGCAACGCCCTCCGCCAGCGACTCGCAAAACAAAACACGGGGCGCTAATATTCATGCACAGATCGGATGGACATAATTTGACTGGTGGTGAAATCGAAACCAATCGACTGATTTTTAGCAAAAACGTTTTAAAATCGATTCTGCTGAACTTCCTAAGCTATGTGGTGTCTGTATTGAATACCGCTCAACTGTGCTGTGTGAAACCAGAATAGAATGAAAATTTCACGAAACCTAAAAGATCCTCTCATTGCCATCAGATGAATGTTTCTCACTGCCAAATCTATGCTTTGATGAAAGCATCAGACAGATAAACGAGTAGATTTTCATTATTGTAGTTTGAAACAAATATGCTACTCGTTATTTGTAGTTTGAACGAGTACATAATCTACTCGTTATTATTGTGATATCAGACAGATAAACAAATATACTACTCGTTATTTGTAGTTTGAACACCTTATTGCAGTACATGTTTCATTGGGAAAAAAGAATAGTTTTCTCAAACTTTGTTGTGGTAAATTGCAATTTGGTCTTTACTTTATTTATCGGTGCAATAGCACGTATGTTCATGTATAGCTTTGATTGTGCAAATACGAAACTGTTACATGTACCGTAAAAGATAATTTACAGGCTTGCCACAGGCATGATGTAGAAGGTGGCTCGAGATGTGTAGCAGAGCTTCTTGCTGTCCTTGAGCCGAAATTCAACTGTAGTAACCACAACAGATCTGCCCTTCCTCAGTATCTGCGCTTCTACTTCCACTTCAGACTGCACAAGCATAGATAAGGGTTGACGGACATTAAGAATACGCGTGCATCATCTAAAAAAGGGAATACTTGTGTGAAGGATTGTACTCCAACAGGTTCTGAAATATTCTCAAAATGAGAGGCAAAGAATTCCAATCTGTCTATCCCCACCGCAATTGTATAGCGTGTGTTTGAATAACTACATGGGCAATTGAACTTCTGCAGGCAGTTCATTTGGTTCACGGTACTCGGAAATGCATATTGATTGAGTGGATCGTCCCATGGTCCAACCCAGTTCAACATCATGAGCCTACATGGCGTGCTGATTTTTACCAAATCAAAATATGTAGGTCACCTCCGCTCTCCACCGCCCTGGTGAATTTCCTAGTTGAGATAGCCTGCCTTTCAGTTGAACATCACAAAACCTAGAAGGAACTCACAACTTGTGATTTGTGAATATGGTCTGCAAGAGATCTCAGGCTTCGTCCTTGCATTTTTCCACAGATCACATATAAATGTTTAACAGGCCAAAAAACACTACGGTGTGAATGGACCATACTCAAATCAAAGCTATCTATCCCTCTGATTCTTTGCAGATTAAATCTCTCTGGCGGCTAAGATGAACGCATAGTCGCCTAATCCCCATTAGGTGTTATTCCTTAGCAGCACTTTCACCTGTCAGTAATCATTGGTTCTTTACCAACCATCTCTTATTAAAGAACTAAAAGATGATCCAGAGATAAACAGCGTTGGTGGTTGAACACTAAAAAGAGAAAAGTGACCAGTTTGGGTACAAATTGTTTGCAGAAGAAGTTCTGTGTAGGTAAACAACAACAAAATGTTCACACTTCATGAGGAAGCAGTAAAAGTGGTTCACAAGTATTTGTCAGGCATGCATGGCTGGTCGAATAAATATGCCAGTAACTGCGCTCAAACATTTCATGAAACAACATATCATGTACACCGAGAATATTTGGTACCAACTTGTGCGTTCACATATGAACATCTTTGTATATATTGTGCAGCATAAGTAGTTGAATATCTATTTCAGAACAAATATTGTCACGCCAACTCTAATTCCACTATGCTAGCTTTTAGTCATGCCATTATACTGTTATACTATAACTATATAGTATACAGATGTTAAAACCCCATAATTTCTTATGCAGTCATCCATGCTAGAGTTGCACATCTGTAGCATTATTTGGCAGTCTTTGTGTGGCAGAAATCTCTAAACCTAATCACTGTGATTTCACAGCATTTCCAACCAAACCGGCTCCATATGTTCAAACCCTTACCTTGCCAGTTGCTTCAAATGTATTATAAAAAAACGCCTTGAATTTCCTTAGTGCAACTTCACCTGTACCGTTTGTAGGTTAAGCAAATAGTAACAGTGATGTTGCATTGCAGCCCTGATATAATATACGAACTAGTAAATTTTACCTAGGTAAGGTTTGGTAGGTACTCCCTCTGTCCCATAATATAAAAGCGTTTTTAACTGTAGTGCCACAAACGCTCTTATATTATAGGACGGAGGGAGTAACTGGTAATAACATAGCCATAATTCTCAATCACAAATACTCCTACTTCCTTATATTTTGATACAGAGTAGCCCACTATAATAAGAGCATCTCCAGCAGTTCTCCAATGATCCATCCCCAATAAAGTGGTATGGGGGCTGCCTCGATACCGCCTTGCGAGTTGGTTTTCCAGTTCCCCAATACCCCATGCCCCAAAATCCCAAACTGGGAACTAGGGTCGAATGTTACTTCATCGAATTAAAACAACACAAACTACGGTTCGGTAAAATTGAGCAAGGGATGTAGATCTCACATCAAGGCGGGCGGCTGAGAGATACGCTGTGCTGAGCTCGCCGAGGAACATCTCCTTATCCCCCGCCGCAGCACGCGCGCACGCCATCCCGACGGCCTCCGCGACGGCCGCCACCGCGCCGCCGTGGAGCGTGTTGTAGGTATTCTGCAGAGCCCACCCGACGACACCAACGGTCAGAGCACATCGCTAGGTACGACTTCATAAAGGAGACGCCGACCGTCGCGCTTTAGTGCTCACAGTTGCGGCGGATGAGACGGTGAGGGTGCAGGAGACGCGCGGCGCGGGGGAGGAGGAGACGGTGGCGGAGGACAGGAGCGCGCGGACGAGGGCGGAGTAGGCGTCGGGACGCTCCGCCGAGGCCGGGAGGGACGCGTCCACTCCGAGGGCCTGGATGAACCGCAGCGTCCACTCGCGAGACTCCTCTGGCGAAGGCTTGGGCGCGTCCTCCGGCTGCGGTGCCATCTTCGCTTGCTGTTCGAGTTCCGGCGCGGTGCTAGCTGATTGTTGCGGTTCGCGAGTCGCTGGCGAGAAAGGGGAACTGAGAGCAACTCTGGCCTCGCAGAGTCGCTGGCTCTCCGTATACGAATTCAGAGCCTTCTTTCCACGAAAAAAAAACATAGTCTTCTTCATACTGGCTGCTTTAATATTGCAATAATGCTCCATCTACGTAAAGTGTTACGAAAGCTTACGTAACTTTGACTAAACTAAATCCTCTCCCCCATGATTTTAACCGGGGGTGGGCCCCTTCCTCCCCCTCTCTCCAATCCCAGCCCACCACGTCGCTGTTTACGTTACTTTACGTTTGTGTTTTACGTAGATGTAGCATTATTGTTAATATTGCGGGATCCGTTTATCACTAGGACCCCCCCCCCCCACACACACACACAATTCTCCAATCTTTCCAACTTGAGGAAACACATAGCTTAAATCCCTAAATGATGATGCTACTCCTTTCTTCATTTCTTTCTTTCTTTCTTTGGTGTTTTGGTTTTGATGTGGTGATTGTGTCCACAGTACTAAAAAACAATTCTTGGACTCCGGTCTGGTTTTGGAATATACTCCCTCCAGTCCACAATGTACCGCCTATAGATTTTTATAAAATTCAAACTTTGCTAACTTTGACCAAGTGTATAGAGTAAACTGTCTACATCTACAATACCAAACATGTACATTCTGAAAATTTCATAACTCACGATGTATCCAATGATGTGCATTTGGTATTCTAGATGTATCTAATTTTCTCTATAAATATGGTCAAAGTTTGTAATGTTTGATTTTTGCAAAAATGTATAAGCACTGCATTATGGAACGAAGGGAGTATAAGATAGACGGTGGTCTACCTTCTTGTCCAAAAAAAGTAGTAGTTTAAATCCTCATGAGAGACTTCTAAAACAAAAATGTCATCGAGATTTAAAACTTATTCTTAGAGACGAAGAAATCAAGTGGCTGAAAGATATCATCAGAAAGAATTGCATGAGGAGTATTTAAACACAAAGTATCACCATGCAAAAGCAAATGGTAGTCACGGAAGAATTTGATCCTTAAGTTGAATCAAGGTGAATGTGTGATTGAGGGGCAACAAAATCTCAAAGAAAATCACTGGGTTTTATAAAAACCACTTTAGTGACTTGAGATTTCTTCCTTAGTCATGGATCATTCTGGGGTTGAGACTTTATCTACGGAGGAGAAGGATTTCTTGATCGGATGATTCTCTCTAGAGGAACTCAAGGGTGTACTCTTTGGATGGATGTAAATAAAGGTGTTGGTCCCGATGACTTTAACATTGAGTTCTACCAATGTTTTGTGTTATTGTCAAGATGGATCTATTTTCTTTATTGGATGATTTCTATGATAACATGTTAGACATAAATAGGCTCAACTATGGTGTGATAATACAGATTCCTAGAGGTGGTGATGCTAATAGAATACAAAAGTTTAGACCAATTTGCTTGTTGCACTACTGCAGGATGCTGCTAACGCGACACTATAATCAGAGACCCTTCGACAAAACTATGTGCGATGCATTAATGGCTAATGGTATTGTAATAAAACTGCAAAAAATGATACGAAACGTTTGCGATGGCGGAGATATCAAACATGATTCAGATTATAGTTGCGTGTGCGATGTGTGTCAGTTCACTTGAATGAGCTATTTGCGATGAGCTTAACGACAAAAATGGTCAGCCAGATGAAGATGTGTGCAACAGACAGCATACAGTTCACTCGGATGAACGATTTGCGATGAGTCAAGACAACAAAAACAGTTTGACTTAACAAGATGTGTGTGATACGCGGCAAATAGGCAACTCAGATGAACTATTTGCGATGATAAAAAATAATACAAACATCTACAAGTGACAATATGTGTGTGATACCAGGTAAACAGGTCACTCAGGTGAACTGTTTGCGATGATAAAAAATAACACAAACGATTCAGCGTAATAAGTTGTGTGTGATACGAATTGTTTGCGATGGCTAGGAGCATCGCACACGATGCATGGTGCGAGTACTCGTGTGTGATGATTTGTAAGTTATACACACATGTCCTTGTGTTAACACGTGTGTGATAGCACGTGACACAGCATACGGTTGTGTGTTGGGAATTGTGTGCTCCACTTAGTCTTCCCGCGCTTCAGTGAAGACTTACCGCGCATCCGCACTGGGAAATTGTAAAACCCTCAATCCCCTAGTTAGCTGCTAGCTATAAATAACCACAACAATGGCCAGCGGGCGTCGACTAACTACTGATCCCCTTGCTAGCTAGTTACCCACACATACCGGCATACCCCCAACGGCCGATGACAGGATGGAGTTGGGCGACGATGGAATTGAGGCTGGCGGCGTGATGGTCGGCTTGGCGGTCGATGGTCATGTCGCCGCCTCTCCTGACGATGGCCAGAGGAAGCAGGAAACATGGTACGAGCAAGCCGCCAGGTTAGCCAGGGTCGTCCTAAAAGAGGACAGGCATCACCAGCGGGCGATATTGTTGGCTTTGCGCAGAGTGTGGCGGATGGTGCGGGCGGTGGAGCAGGAACCACGACGAAGCAAGGACAATTGCCGCAGTGGCGGCCGCCGCACAAAGTGCATGCTTATATCCAGATGGAGGACGGCGCAACACCAGACGTCGCTGGGGCATGCCTGGGGGCCATGACGGCAGCCCTGGCGAGAGCCAACGTCGTCTCGCCGGGGCAGACCTGGCGATCGCTGTGCCCGAGGCAGTACCGACGATCCCCGATGTCGAGGTTGCCCCAGCCTCGATCGATCAAGGTGTTTAGGCCATTGACTTGACGACCTCCGCTCCTCCTGAGCCCAGGATCGACACGCTAATGGACGATGGCAGGTGTGCGTGATGGGTTGGCATCAGGTGCATAGTAACTCTTTTGTGTGTGCGCGGTTCATTATATTCTTCTAAATTAGTGAGCTAATGGTTTGTAAATTACTCGTCGAACTAGGCACTGGACCAATAATTTGAGCATATATTATATATATATATATATATAGGGAAAATCCATCCTACCACCCAGTGGTAGTTACCCCACATGTCTCATATACTAGCATGTGGTACTATATATACTATTTTATTATTTTAAATATGTTCATATACTATATCTAAGATATTTCAAAACAAGTTACATGAAAAAATTGCACATGAGCCCATAGTTTTTGTTATATTTGTGAAATACGTACATATTTGTACGTAAAAAAAAGCATACTCAAAAAATGGTACATACTACCTAAAAATTTGTATATATACTACATAATCATTATTATATACTACATACTACACGTACATACTCTCGATTTCGACAGATACTACATACAACATACAAAACGCAAGTGGTGGTAACTACCATATATATACAGACGGTCACCACTTCTCGCTGGAAAAAACTGCACGCTTTATTTTTTTGGTACTGTTTTCGCTCTAATTTTTTAACCGTTTATCGGAATGAGGCATGTAATATACCATTGAAAAGCTATGGATTAGGCGCAACTTCGACATGTTGAACACTTTTCGAGATTCCACACGGTTTAAGAGCGGTTTTGAAAATAGTGCGGCGGATGACGAGTGACAGCGAGCGTTTTTTCGCGTTTTTTTCTAAAATGCTTGTCGGAATGAAGCAAATGATACGCCATTGGATGATATCGTTGAGGTGCATCTTTTTCATATATAAATCTTTCTCTAATTCATTACGGTTTAAGAGCAGTTTCAAATTTACTAAATCACGGAACTCTGTTTTTCAAAAAAATTCAAATTTTCGGTACTATTTTCGCTCTAGTTTTTGAACCGTTTGTCGAAACGAGGCGTATGATACGTTGTTGGAAAGCTATGGACAAGGCGCAACTTTCATATGTATGAATGGTTTTGAGATTCCTTACGGTTTTAAGTTAATTTTGAAAATCATGCGGCGGAGGACGAATGACAGCGGCCGTTTTTTTTGAAATTTTTACAAACCGTTAGTCGAAATGATTCAAATGATATGCCGTTGGAAAGATATTAATGAGACGCAACTTTTTCATGTAGAACACACTCTCTAATTTCCTTGCGGTTTAAGAGCAGTTTTAAAATTAGCAAGAAGCGGACACTCTGTTTTTTCGTGACACCAAAATCGTCGTCGGACAGAAGAATGCACTGCTTCAAACTGAAAACTGCACTGCAACAGACAGTCAAGTGAACTTCATGATTTCTTTTTGTCGAACATAAACTTTCTCGCACAAGTTTCTTTTGTCTTTTATTCAACTTTTTTCCGAACGAGAGTGGACCACAACACTTCCGAAAGTGAACCGTAACACTACCAAAAGTGAACCTCATGAGTACTTGTTGTCTTTTTTTATACTTATTAATTTTTTACGCGCGTTGACCAAGCGAGTGGACCGTAGGGACTGATCGAGTGAAGTACATCTAATATAGAAGCGAGCTTCATTTTGAGATATTTTTTTGTTTTGTGTTTACCAAGTGAACAATAGAGGAGGTTTATAGCATACAGAATCTGCACTCTCCACCAGCCAAATCACGGTAATGAACTGCAGTTTTTACAATGAACTAATGAAGTGCACTCTTCGGCAACAACAAAATTAAGTAATGGGGCATCCAATAGAACTGCATCACTTCATCTTTTTCCTGCAAAAATGAGTAAAATGAACCTCAATAGCAAACCATAGTGGACTTCATTTGCACTTTTTTTCTCTTCAAAAATCACAAAGTCAGTGAAGTGCACAAGCGCACTGCCGGACAGCATGGCTCTCGAAAATGAACCATATCTGAAGACAAAACGCACTGCAGATGTTCAAATCAGAGTGATTTTTTTCACATGTAAAATAAATGCGGTCTGTGACATCGAGGCAAGGCAAGCGAACCACAACAGAGTTTGATATAACGAACGGCATCAATTTTTTAACTAGTGAATCACACTAGCTGGCAATTCACAGGTACGCCGCCAATGAGCTGCATGGCGTCGCCG